TCCCATGCACTGATACAGGCTGGGGGCTGACTGGCTGGGCAGGAGCTCTGCAGAAAAGGATCTGGAGGTTACAATGGACAATAAGCTGAATATGAGCCAATGGTGTGCCACTGTTGCCAAGAAGGCTAACAGTATACTGGGCTGCATTGGTAGGACTGTTAGCAGGGCAAGGGAAGTGATTATTCCCCTCTATTCAATTGGTGTGGCCACATCTGGAGTACTGTGTTCAGTTTTGGGCCCCCCACTACAGGAAGGATGTGGACAAGTTGGAGAGAGTCCAGCAGAGGCCAACAAAAATGGCCTCCTTCAACTACCTGAAGTGGGGTTTGAAACAGGATAGAGCTATACTGTTTTCAGTGGTAGCAGATGACAGAACAAGGAGCCACAATCTCAAATTGCAGAAAGCGAAGTTTAGGTTAGATATTAGGAAAACTTCTCTCACTGGGAGGGTAGTAAAACACTGGAACAGGTTTCCCAGAGAGGTTGGGGAATCTCCATCCTTGGAGATTTTTAATACCCAGCTAGATAAGGTGTTGGCTGGGATGATCTAGTTGGGGATGGTCCTGCTTGGAAGAGGGGCATGGACTAGATTACCTCCTGAGGTCCCTTCCAACCCTAATTTTCTATGATTCTATGAACTGGAAATTAGACACTTGATAGTTCTTGTAACCTATTATAAGAGAACAGCTCAGAACTTTCAGCCTCCATTTACGTTACTGCTGAGGATCTTTTGAGTCTACTTCCCTCTAAAACTATTGGGTTTTTTTTTTAAACAGAAAAAACAACTGACCCACATCAGCAAGAAAGAAGTCCCAATGCACTTACATCCACTTTACAGTTTCATCCGCTGGGAATAAGACAGTCTGATTCAGTGTTGCTTTCTGCTGTTCTCAGCTCCTCCTCTTTAATAGTGTTGGTAAATCCTCTGGATAAGTAAGCATGGCTAGGACTGTGTCAAATGCATCCCTACCTGTATCTACTTTTAGAACACGGTTCCTATTGGAAAGGGCAGTGGGAGTGAGCTCTATCAAGATTTTTTTGGCCATTGGCCTCTTTGACTACAAAAGTAAGAAAGCTGAGTACAGTGTTTCATAACAATTAATAAGGGTTTAAGTGACACTATTTCAAACACTGCTTCAAAGGAGAGTCTTGATTCTCCCGCTAATAACACTTATAATCTGTGCTCTCTTTCCACCTCTCTCATTTTGCCTAAGTGCTAAACTGAAGATATTCTCTCATGCTCTGATCCTATGAGGCACTAAGCACCTTGCAGGGCTGAGTTCTAGTGACTTAGTCTGCATCATTCTGCTCCTTTATTTTGCACATGAAAGGAAAAAGTAAGAAATGAAGCAAGAGTCACAGGACTAGCAAAGCAGGAAATCCTTTCACTGAACAGATGTCAGTGGAACAAGAGGTAGTTTGCAGACTAATCAGCAGAAATGCAGGCCTGTGTTCCAATTCAATGTGCAGATTTTTTAGTAGGAACAGCGTGCTAAGGGGGAGCCTGTCTTTGCGCAAACAGGAAAACCAATTCTCAAAAAAAGAAGTCATCTGATCCAGAAATTCTGTTTTTAAGGTATAATTATTATGCAATGAAATTGACCCTTAGGGAACTGGAAGGGGGGAATATATCTTCGGCATGGATTTCCTTAGATACTAGTGGATTGGCCAGAAACGGATAAAGATCTGCATCCAATAATACTGTTTCTAAACTTGTTTTTAGCCACCTATACATTTGACTCATCTTTATTTTGATACCTACATGGGTTCAGATAATAGCTACAATTATAAAAGAAATACGAGAGACCACCGTGTCATCTGCCAGCGTAGGCTTCTTACCCACAGTAAGTTTTCTAGGTTTGTTTCAGTCTATTTTTCCTACATCCCCACCTATAGAACATCCATTGCTTCTGAAACCTAAATACATCATACTCTGATAGAACATTTCCTGGCAGTGAGACCTTTCATTAATCTGTTTCATCTTATAGTAATCAGTCTTCTTGCAAACACCAAAACAAAATCACATTTACCTTGTCTTTTAGACTATGGATAAACAGTACTAAAAATCAAATGGCTATGTCATATAATCTTCAACACAGACCACAGATGCACAGGGAACATAATTCACTTTTATTCATGGAAGGTCTACAAACAATTAGGACTGAAATCTTACCCCACAATCTGGTGTCACTCCAGGAAGAAATATTTTCTACACAGTAACATATACCCAATGAAGACATTCCGCAGCTCTAAAACAGAAACAACAACAGTCAAGCCCCCTTAAAAAGCATGCTATATCTTTCCTCTATAGTATGACATGTCATCAAATGGCATCAGACTTTGTACTAAGGCAGATTTGTAGCTACTTTAAGATGCACCAAAAGCCAGAATGATTATGGCATGCATCCCAGTCCCCCAGCACAGAAGGAAATGGTTGAAGAGTTAACGTAGTCTCAAGCCTCATTGATGCTTCTGTAGATTCTCAGGTGGGGTTTATTAATTTTCCAGGAGGCAGTCCACTGCTTTCCTCTCCCTATCCCTCGTCTGCCCCACGGTCTTCCCACATGAAGATCTATAGATCTTCACAATGCTTTTCTTCAGGCCCAGAGATAGAGCTGACACTTCCATTTTTACGGAAAAAAAGAAGAGGTCCATATCTGGAACAGACTTTTCTCCCACAAATCTTCAAGGAATGACTCTCTATCTGACACACACACACACACGCAGATGCGCACGCACACACACACACACAAACCTGCTATTTGCTAAGTCCAGGAATTAACTGATATGCCTCTTCAGTGTCACAGACAGAACTGCTTTTCCCAGTGCGGCTGTTCTCCACATTCATCTTTGCTGTTGCCAAGGAAACCAGATTAGTACATTCAAAACCACTGCTAATAACCAGTTTTGCCACGGGATCAGGGCTTTTTTCTGCTTGTTCTTATGTTCATCTATTCCAGTTGACTATTAAGTCACTTAGTAAGTTTTCTTCCTATGGTAATGACTGGGTGATGCCAATAAACACATCAAAACAGATACCAACATAGTCACTGAATGCATGGATATCCCCCCGTTTCTTTCCAGGAGATGCAGGTCTTGTTCTTTAGGCTCAGTGCCAACAAGTAGATTGAACAGATTGCTACTGCTGTTCTGTGCACAAAGTGGGGAATTTTTTTGTTCACTAAGAGCTTTCACCTATTCATAAGCCATAATAATGAGGAAACCAAACAAGAAGTTTCTCAGTACTACTACAGCAGTGAAACATCAAGGATTCATTAGCTAAATCCACTATAAATAAGATTTTTGCACCCTCACAAATATAAAGAAAAGACCACAACAAGTTTATTTAAAGCAGATTTAATGCCATCTAATTACTGCCCCTCTACTAAAAGCAGAAGGAAAAAATATAATTTAATTTTGAATTGGAAATATGTAAAAAAAAAAAAGTCTAATAATAGCTAGCTCTCCAATAAACAGAAAGGTTATAAGCAGAATTCCCAGAACCTCAGACTCAAAACAATTTTTGAGAATGAAAAGGTTAGAAGCAGGGAAAAAAAAGAAAGAGAAATAATCATGCAAATGCAAATAATAAATTAGTCATCCACATCTGCCGCAGTGACTGTGAGAAGCAAGACAATGAAGAGATTGGTCTGATTCCAGAGAAATGAAGTCAATATAACTGAAATTATCTGACCTAAATCATCACCCTAGGGACCAGCAAAACAGTTGCTTAGTACAGATGTTTTAACTAAAGGCTGGATAACTGTACTGAAATCATGGGTCCATCTAGTCAGACTCTGCAGAATCGTTCAGATTCAAGTAAGTCATTCCATTTACTTTGAAACAGCAGATTCCTCAAAGCTCCAGGCTGCCATGAAATAGACTTATTTCTTGAATTGCATACTCCAACATTTTAAAGAATATTCCACTTTCTCCACAGGGGACAGGGAAATCATGAAATCACTGAGATGTTCACAAGTGAAAAACTGAAGGCAGCTCTCTGCTTGGAAGTACCTCTACCATGTGCTGTTAGGCTACAAAGCAAACCTTGTCCACACAGTTTTCACTGTCTGGAAAGGCAGCAAAGCCTGCTTTAAGAGCCGTTTCCAATAGCTGTATTTAAGCCACTTTACAGCTACTGGAAATGGCTCTTAACAACGTATCTTGATACAACAGATGAGAACTTAGTACATTATTGCGTTTATAGCTGATGAACTAGACCTGAATGGGCTGATCTGTAGCACTTCAACTCTGTAAAACTCCAACTGGATATGTGATGTTGCATAACTCAGGCAGGGATGTTGGAGTCAGACAATTTATACACGCGAACATGAACGACGCGTGCCTCCTGAGGCTGTGGGGGGCACAGCAACCTTCCGTAGGTGGCAGTGTCAGTGGTGGGGGTGTGGTGACAGCAAGCGGAGACCACCCACAGGTGGCTGCAGCAGTGAGGGTGGGCCGAGCAGGGACTATGCTCAGGCAGCCACAGGGTGATGAGTGGTGGCCAGGGACCACCTGCAGCTGCTGTCTCCACTGTCGGTGGCAGTGAGCAGCAAGCGGGGACTGCCCACAGCCGCGGTGGCCACGTTGGCTGCGAGGAAAGGGGGCGGCAACCGCCTGCAGAAGCCAGCGATGGCTTTGGTGGTGGGCAATCTCAGGGGGCACACGTGCCCCCCTTTCACCTTCCTACACATCACCAGTGCATGCAAACAGACCTTATTACATCACTGGGGCCAGAGGTGCTCATCCCCTGGCCTGGGGTACAAGTCTGGGCCTGGCACCTTGTCATCCGGCGCGTAGGAAGCCCATGGGCTGTGGTTCTACACACAAGATCTAGTGTGCAGGGCAGTGTGGCACATGATCCTGGCATGTGGGGTTGGGTAAAGGTGGCACAGGGCCATGGAATATGATCCAGCATGTGGAGCCAGGCTGAGGCAGTACAGAGTCTGACAGAGGTGGCAGGAGGTCTTGAGACCCCAATCCTGGCATACAGGACCGGGTGTGGGGCCTAGGGCCCAATCCCAGCATATGGGACAGGACAGAGGCAGCACAGGGTCTGCTGGGTCCTGATCCCAGCATGTAGAACCACGTGTGGAGTCCTGGGGCTTGATCTTAGCACATAGGGCCAGGTGGAGGCAGTGCATGGTCCCAGGACCCCAATCCAGGCATGTGGGGCCAAGTGGAGTAATGCAGTCTAGATTCAGGTATGCAGGCCTAATCTTGGGTCATGGGGTCCAATCTGGTCCATGGACCAGGCCCATGCCACCCATTTGGTCAAAAGGTAGAATACCTCAGGTCTAGGCCCACCCCATCCAGAGATAAGATCTGGGCATACAGGGCATCTTTATATGTGCTCTGGGCTTGGGCACTGGGAGGGAGAGGTGCTTTAATTTAAGCAGCCCTTGGGAGCTTCTCTAATTAAAGTGTCCGCAGTGTCTTATGTATTCAGCATTCCACACTTCAAAATGGTGCTGGGGGTGTTCATTTGACAAGTTTTAGTTAAAGTGTTTCCACCATCGTTTTGAAGTATGGGGATGCTGTATACAGAGACTCTGAGGCTGCTGGAGTGCGCTAATTAGCATGTTCCAGCAGACTCGATTAATCGAGTCTTCTCCAATGCATTTTAATTAGAATGCACTGGAGCAGGTGTCGGGCACATATACAGGTGCCCACTATGTGTTTCTCAGTGCTTCAAGCAGGCTGCTCCAAGCTATGAGACTTCCAGCACTTAGAATACATGATTTTCTCTTAATCTGATAGGTCTCACGATTGACACATTTTGACTCTGTTATATACAGAGGATATTAGCCTTTGCTGAATGATATTATTACCATTTTAACAATATGAATCAAGTTTTATTCAGTGGTCAATAAGTTCTCTCCCTCAGTATGTGTATCTAATCTCTTCTTACTAGTTAATTTTCCAGTATACTTCAATCGGTTTAATGCCCTTCTCTAAATAGTGCTCTGTATTTTTCTTATCATATTTCTCTGAGCTAGCCCAACAGCCAGCTTGAGTTGGAAACGCCTGTGTTTCACAATGTGCTGAATGTCAGTAGAAGGATCATACTGAGAAAAGGAGACTTAATTCCCAGTCAAGGAAAATTTGAATTACTTGGGTTTAAGCAATTTGGGTTATACGTATGTCTTCTGGTTCAATTTCATTCACTGTGTTCTATAGCTTCTCATAGCTTCTTCCCAAAAAAATTTTGTCATTTCTTTGAATAGTTAAAAGTGGCTAATCATCTTAGGATCTCTACTGCAGACAGCCAGCTGAAATACAAGCATTGCTTCTTACCTAGCACTATTTCTCTCCTAAGCTTAGGAGTGTATATGCTCAGTTGAAGGGGGCAAGAGGAGGTGACACAATCTGAGATGTTTAAAAGTTCACAGCTCTGCACCTGCCAAATTTGTACTGAAAGTCATTTGTGCCAAAAGACTCGAATCACATGAAGCAAACCCATTTCAGTTCGGTGCTTCAGGGCTTTGCTTTGCAAGTATACAGATTCATGTGGCATCTAGAGTAATGATCATATTAGGGGAAATTCTCTCACACGTCATTGCCTGCTCTTGGGAGCAGCTGCTGTTCACGACACATGCATTACTGCACCTCTTGAGTGATAGTCAAGGAGACAGACTAGTGCCAGTGAGCTCTCCTTACATATTGCCCTGCTCTGTGCATTAATCCAAGACGCTCCACACTCAAAGGTGTCATGGGGCACAGCTCTGCTTCACATAACCAAGCCTCAAGCATGAATGGTTAATTCATTTATTTCTAGTGCCTTTAGTTTTGACAAACAGCAGTCCAGAAAAAGGAGGTTTTCTTTAACTTTTCACACCCTGGCTTCTCATTTACATTCTCTACTAAATAAGATGGCCATGTTTTGCACTACTTAGCAGTAACTGTGCATACAGTTACTGATGATACCTCCTGTCACCCCTTACTGTGGCTACTGCTTGCTAAATCTACATTGGATGCAGTTCTCTCTCTAGCTGGGTCATTGATGTCTGCGAGCAGAGCAACATAGAGCCCAAATAAACATCAGTTGCCAATCATTCCCAAATCATTTAGTTCTTGATTTGGAACAAACTGGGTGTGTCTACACGTTCATTAATGCACTTTTGCTACTGCGTATTAAATGTAGCACCCCTAATGTGAGGTACTAACTAAATGCGCATTATGCTGCCCTAATGCACAGTAGCGAAAGAGCACACTTTTTTAGTGATGCTTAATGCACAGTAGCCTAATTTTACTGCACATTAACGTATTAGCACGATTTTTGCTGTGACACTCTAATGTACAGTAAATTGCCTATTGTGAATTAAAGCGCATATGTAGATATGCCCACTATTCTGCCCCTATTCAGGCTTGAAAGCTATGAGCAGGGACCTCAGTTCTGATGTCAACTACTTTAATTGCTAGCCTGACCCATTGTGACAGCTCAGAGTGGTGCGCAAAGAAGACATTGTTGGAAGATGCATTTTGCAGGTCAGCTAAATAGATCTGGCTCTTAATATGGAAAGTGGCAGGATATTGCATAAAGCAAGGATTCCACTAGCCAACAAGCAGAAACGACACAAAAGGAGTGACAGGACAAAACCCAACAGGAAACAAGATCACCTGGTGTGATGTATGGCAACACTCAAAGCCATTTTTCACTAGATTTTGCTGAATAAATTCAGGGATTTATTTTATACACAAAGAATTTCCCCTGTTCAAATTTTGGCCTAAACTCAAAATGTGAACATTTGCTCTGTATTTTGGACCTTATAGAGAAAGGTGCTGAGTACTCTTAACCAGAAGTCAGCCAAAAGCACTTTAAGCCCATGATGTCAGTGGGATATAAGCAACAAAAAACAAGCACTGGCTTAAGTATTCAAGTGTATTCAAAAGTCTGTGGGATGTAGCCTGTATTGGAGGTGGCAAGTAGGATGTGCAGATTTTACTTAAAGGTAGATGAGGAATATTTTTTTACTCCTGGTGTCCAGTGAAGTAGAGAGGCTCTTTAAAAAGGCCAATTCTGCCTTAATTTACATAAGTGTATCTGGAGAAGAGTCCCTGCTGATTTAAACCTGTATACATGAAAGGAAAAATCAAGTATGTTTCTAAAGAAAGGATAGATTTGGTACTTCTCCCCTGCTTCTAAAATGGTAGTGATGCACTCGAGAAAAAAACATAAATAAGGCTTTTTCACATTTATATTGCAGTAACACTGAAAGGACACAGTAACGTTGGCTCCTGTAATGCTAAGTTTCTGTACAAATGCTTGTAATCTACATAGGTAGGTGGGTCAAATTCAAATAGGATGGATGAATTAGATCCTGGTGCACTAGCATTTATCTATTCAATTGTCACCAGAACTCAGAAAACCTCTCTACCCTTGTTTAAGCATTGGTCTCAGTGAAATGCTGAGAAACTGAAAAATTAAATACCCCCACTATCCTATACATAATAAATAACAAAGATTAATATGAAAATAAGAAAAAGTGCTTGAGATTATTAACATTTTAGGCTCAGTTATAAACCAAGGAAACCAGCCCATGCTTTGCTCATGAAAAAACACTGTCTTTTAACTACAAAATAACCCAAGCATGATCCAAATAATTTGATTAAAAATATATATAATAATGAAAAAAAAGTAGGGGAGCAACAATAAAGATTTCCTTGGCCAATACCAATGGCCAATTATTAACCAGCCATATCAGCTGATACCAATCCAACAGCCAACTTACAGGAATGCAGCCAGGCAGTGTGGAGAGAAGTGTCCTGCCGGAAGTCTATTTGTGGGGATGCTCAGAGCAGGCGGCGGTGGGGTGGACTCAGTTGCAGCAGAGTGCAGTGTCTCGAGCACGAGCAGCACTGGGGGGGGGGCAGGTTAGAGGCTCTAGCCATACCAAAATTCCCTGTAGCCCCTCCATAGCTACCCCTCCCAGTACTGCCATTGCGCACCCCGCATAGCTGAGCCCACGCAGCCCCAGCTCAGACCCTGCTCTAGCAGGGCAGAGAGGCTCTAAGCCTGGCTCTGGTGGCATCTCCTACCCAGACCACTCCTCTACCCTCGTCCCCCATCTCTCTCTCATGCACACCCCTTCTGCCACCTCCACCCCTTCCCACACCTCCTCACACACCAAAGTGGTTCCTGGAACCAGTAACTCCCCCCAGGCTGGGGCCACATGTCCCTGCATTGGTGTGAGCGCGAAGCAGAGCTGCAGTGTGGCAGTTGCCTCTGCAGGTGCGGCTCCTGCAAGCAGGTCCTGTCCCTTCCCGTTTGGCAACTGTGCATGTATACTGTAAAACTGCAAGGGGGGGGGCAGAGATTGGGAGGGGGACAGGTGTGTAGGGGCTAGATGGGTTTG